ACACACTCACTCACACACACTCACTCTCACACACACACACTCACTCTCACACACACACTCACACACACTCACTCTCACACACACACTCACACACACTCACTCTCACACACACACTCACACACACTCACTCTCACACACACACTCACACACACTCACTCTCACACACACACTCACACACACTCACTCAGACACTCACACACACTCACACACACACTCACTCACGCACACACACACTCACGCACACTCACACACACTCACACGCAGACACACGCGCACACTCACACGCACACTCACACACTCACACACACACTCACGCACACACTCACGCACACACTCACTCACACACTCACACACACACTCACACGCAGACACACGCGCACACTCACACGCACACTCACACACTCACACACACACTCACGCACACACACACACACACACTCACGCACACTCACACACACACTCACACACACTCTCACACACACTCACGCACACACTCACGCACACACTCACGCACACACACACACACACTCACGCACACTCACACACACACTCACACACACTCACACACTCACGCACACACACACTCACTCACACACACTCACACACACACTCACACACACACTCACACACACACTCACACACACTCACGCACACACACACTCACACACACACTCACACACACTCACGCACACTCACTCACACACACTCACGCACACACACTCACTCACACACACACTCTCACTCACACATACTCACACTCACACACACACACTCACTCACACTCACACATACTCACACTCACACACACTCACTCACACTCACACACACACACTCACTCACACTCACACATACTCTCACTCACACATACTCACACTCACACACACACACTCACTCACACTCACACATACTCACACACACACACTCACTCACACTCACACATACTCACACTCACACACACACACTCACTCACACACTCACTCACACACACACACTCACACACACTCACGCACACACACTCACTCACACACACACTCACACTCACGCACACACACACTCACTCACACTCACACATACTCACACACACACTCACACACACTCACACTCACGCACACGCAGACACTCACACACACACTCACGCACACTCACGCAGACACTCACTCACACACACTCACTCACACACACACTCACTCACACGCACACTCACGCACACACACTCACACACTCACGCACACTCACGCACTCACTCACACACATTCACTCACGCACACACACTCACACACACACTCACACACACACACTCACACACACACTCACACACACACACTCACACACACAACAACAACCGCCATTCGCCACTAAGTGGCGGTGACGTCACCACGACGCTTGTGCCAGGCTATGTGCACCCTGAGGCCACGTGAAGTGTCGAACGCCCGCTGGCAGGAGGTCACGGGGCAGACCCAGGTGCCACGGGTCGACTGACTGAGATGACTGGCTGATGCACCACCTGTGCCCCCTACTGTGCCAACCTGCTGTGCTTTAGCCACCCGGCGCTCCGCTCGCTGTTGTGAGCGTCGCTCCTCCGCCCTCCGTTGTTGTTGGAGGGCGACTGCCTCCAACTGCCCAGTAGCATCCTTCACGAGCCTCCTCCACAGAGGCCGATCTTGACACCGCTGGTACCAGTCATCGGCAAGTCCACTCAGCTCCACGTCCTCCTGTACCACATCACTCCATCTCTTCTCTAGCCCGTGCCGCGCCCGCTTAGCCCCCTCAATCCGGCCAAACAAAAGCTGTTTCGGCATGCGGTGGCTGGGCATGCGGGCTACATGACCCAGCCATCGCAGCCTTGCCTGCCGGAGGAGCTCACCGATGGGACCCTGCCCAGATCTTTCAAGGATTTGTGAGCTCCTCACACAATCCAGTCTGGTTAAACCCAGGACGGATCGTAGGCAGGCCAGCCTAAATGTTTCTAACCGGCGAAGATGTTCCATTAGGGGGGTCCACGTTTCGCAACTGTAGAGAAGGGAGGGAATGACCGTGGCCGAGAAGACCTGAAGCTTAGTGCGGAGCGACAGACCAGGTAGCTTCCACACAGCGTTACGCAACCGATGAAAAGATATTACCGCTCGACTGATTCGGAGTGAGACCTCTGCTGTTAAACTGGAGCCAGTCATAAGCACACTGCCCAGGTATGGGAAACTCTCCACTCTCTCCACAACTGCCCCATCACCGATTGGGAGTTGTGGGGGTGGAGTGTCCGATGGTACAAAATACCCAGGCAGGTGCTTAGTTTTGGTGGGGCTGATGGTAAGGCCCCACCTCTTAGTGGCACGCTCCAGTCTCAGCAGCAGCGTCTCCAACTCCTCCTCTGACTGAGCAGCTATTACCAAATCATCAGCATACATAACGTGGTTGAGCAATAGGGAGCCATCCCTTGACCGCACCCGGGCATCGATTAGCCTCCCATTATATCTGTACCATATGGAGATTCCCCCGGTACAGCTATTGAAGGCTTCACGAACTACGTGGTCAAAATAGATGTTAAATAATGTGGGAGCCAGAGGACATCCCTGTCGCACCCCAAGGTGTACAGGGAATGGCTCTGACTCCCGGCCACGTAGTTTTACCCGGGCCCGCTCACCATCATGAAGGTCCTTAATGATCGTGAGCAGAGGGTCAGGTACTCCAAAAGCACGAAGAACGACCCAGAGCCCAGGCCTACTGATGGTATCATAGGCCTTGACTCACACACTCACACTCACTCACACGCACACTCACGCACACGCACACACACTCACACACACGCACACTCACACGCACGCACACTCACGCACACACACTCACTCACACGCACACTCACTCACACAACAACAACAACCGCCATTCGCCACTAAGTGGTGGTGACGTCACCACGACGCTTGTGCCAGGCCACGTGCACCTTGAGGCCACGTGAAGTGTCGAACGCCCGCTGGCAGGAGGTCACGGGGCAGACCCAGGTGCCACGGGTCGACTGACTGAGATGACTGGCTGATGCATCACCTGTGCCCCCTACTGTGCCGACCTGCTGTGCTTTAGCCACCCGGCGCTCCGCTCGTTGTTGTGAGCGTCGCTACTCCGCCCTCCGTTGTTGTTGGAGGGCGACTGCCTCCAACTGCCCAGTAGCGTCCTTCACGAGCCTCCTCCACAGAGGCCGATCTTGACACCGCTGGTACCAGTCATCGGCAAGTCCACTCAGCTCCACGTCCTCCTGTACCACATCACTCCATCTCTTCTCTAGCCCGTGCCGCGCCCGTTTAGCCCCCTCGATCCGGCCAAACAAAAGCCATTTGGACATGCGGTGATTTGGCATGCGGGCTACATGGCCCAGCCAACCCAGCCTTGCCTGCCGGAGGAGCTTACCGATGGGACCTTGCCCAGATCTTTCGAGGATTTGTGAGCTCCTCACACAATCCAGCCTGCAGGTTAAACCCAGGATGGATCGTAGGCAGGCCAGCCTATTAGGGGGGTCCACGCTTCGCAAGCGTAGAGAAGGGAGGGAATGACTGTGACCGAGAAGACCTGAAGCTTCGTGCGGAGCGACAGACCAGGTAACTTCCACACAGCGTTACGCAACCGATGAAAAGATAATGCCGCTCGACTGATTCGGAGTGAGACCTCTGCTGTTAAACCGGAGCCGGTCATGAGCACACTGCCCAGGTATGGGAAACTCTCCACTCTCTCCACAACTGCCCTATCAACAATTGGGAGTTGTGGGGGTGGAGTGTCCGATGGTACAAAATACCCAGGCAGGTGCTTAGTTTTGGTGGGGCCGATGGTAAGGCCCCACCTCTTAGTGGCAAGCTCCAGGTTCAGCAGCAGCACCTCCAACTCCTTCTCTGAGTGAGCAGCAATTACCAAATCATCGGCATACATAACGTGGTTGAGCAATAGCGACCCATCCCTTGACCACACCCGGGCATCGATCATCCTCCCATTATATCTATTGAAGGCTTCACAAACTACGTGGTCAAAATATTTGTTAAATAATGTGGGAGCCAGAGGACATCCCTTTCGCACCCCAAGGTGAACAGGGAATGGCTCTGACTCCTGGCCACGTAGTTTTACCCGGGCCCGCTCACCATCATGAAGGTCCTCAATGATCGTGAGCAGAGGGTCAGGGACCCCGAAAGCACGAAGAACTACACAGAGCCCAGGCCTACTGATGGTATCATAGGCCTTGACCAGGTCAATAAAGCAGAGATGTAGGTCTTGTTGGAATTCTCTACACCTCTGCTGTAGCAGACGGACAGAAAACATGGCATCTGTGCAGGACCGCCCTTTTCTGAAACTGCATGGGGGCTCCGCAAGCCTCTCCTCAGCGTGCCTAGCATGGCGATGTTGAATAATCCTTGCCAGGACCTTTCCCGGCACACTGAGGAGTGAGATGCCCCTGTAGTTGTTACAGTCTGTGCGGTCCCCCTTCTAGAAGAGGGGGGAACCACCAGGGAATCCTTCCAATCCTGGAAGGAACCCGTCCAGTGGTCCAGACTGTTGTTATGATGTCCTGTAGGGCAGTCTGCGCACAAACGCCACAACTCCCTCAGCATTTCGCTCGGGAGATCATCTCTGCCCGCTGCCTTTCCTGGTCTCAGACTCCAGATCTCCTTGAGTACTTCCTCAACAGATGTCGCACGCACGCATGCACGCACGCACACACTCGTTCACGCACGCGCAACAGCAACAACAACAACAACCGCATCAGCCGCCGTTCGTGACGTCACCACGGCGCTCGTGCCAGGCCAGGTGCGCGCGTTGAGGCCATCACGTGAAGTGTCGAACGCCCGCCGGCAGCAGGTCACGGCACAGACCCAGCAAGGTGCCACGGGTCGAGTCGACTGACGGCCGAGACGGCCGAGATGACCGGCCGATGCGCCAGACGCACACACACGCACACACACACTCACACTCGCACGCTCCTCATTCACAACGTTGCCCTCCTCTGCTTTGTCGTCCTCCCCCGACAGCAAAGCGCACAACGGCTCGCGCGACGCCCTCGCCACCAACGGGAGGAGCCGCTCCATCATCCACCGCAAAGTGTCCGAGCTGGGTAAAGTCTCTCGCGCGCGCGTGTGGTGTGGTGTGTACGTGCGCGTGTGTGTACGTGTGTGTGTACTTGTGTGTGTGCGTGTGTGTACGCGTGTGTGTGTGTACGTGTGTGTGTACGTGTCTTTGTCTGTGTGCGCATGCGTGTGTGTGCGCGTGCGTGTGTACGTGTGCGTGCGTGCGCGTGTGTGTACTTGTGTGTGTACTTGTGTGTGTGCGTGTGTGTGTGCGTGTGTGTGTTAACATGGGAGTGCGCGCGCGTGTGCATGTGTGTGTGTGTACGTGTCTGTGTTAACGCGACCGTGTGCGTGTGTGTACGTGTGTATGTGTGTATGTGTTGTGCATGTGTGTGTGTGTACGTGCACATGTGTTGTACATGTGTGTGTGTGTACGTGCACGTGTGTGTGTTAACCGTAGCGCATGGGGGAGTGGTGGGTGTAGTGGTTAGCGCCACGCCGCGCTACGAAACCGGGCAGAGACCCGGGTTCGATTCCCGCTCACGGTCACCACCGGTGACGATTCTCTGAACCGGTCCTGGGCCTCCTCCCCTAGGTCGGCTCAGCCTCAAATGAGGCTGTACAGTAAACGTTACCACTGGGGAGACAAAGGCGGCCGGGTTGTGGTGTGCGACCACCCACACCCCCTGCCGGCCTTCACGGGTGCCACCACTTGCTGACAGCCCTTGCCCCTACAGTCTGTCCATGGCACTGCAAGGCCCCATGACGTCATTCGAGGTAGCAGCTGCCACTGGGGGTGCCCCTAGGCTGCGTCACACAGGTGGCTAGGAGATGTTGACTACCTCGCCCGGTATACAGGAGGTCGTGGGTTCGATCTCGACCCTGACGCTTCCTCCTGTATATTTTGACTTTGCGTGGCTCCCTCTCTCTCTCTCTCCCCGTGGTCGCGTGTAATTCTCCCCGGGTACCGCCGCTTTTTCCTCCTCCACCATGAGAATCGACGCATTTTGAGGATTTGGCTACTGTAAATGATGATGATGATGATAAGCTGTCAAATCAGCACTATGAGATACTTCAGTAGGTAGGGGGGAGGGGAGGGGCAACCCCTCCAGCAAGGAAAAATTATAGAGGAGTTGTTAGTAAGTAAGGAGTTGTTAGTAAGTAAGGAGTTGTTAGTAAGGAGTAAGTAAGGAGTTGTTAGTAAGTAAGGAGTTGTTAGTAAGGAGTTGTTAGTAAGGAGTAAGTAAGGAGTTGTTAGTAAGTAAGGAGTTGTTAGTAAGTAAGGAGTTGTTAGTAAAGAGTTGTTAGTAAGCAAGGAGTTGTTAGTAAGCCAGGAGTTGTTAGTAAGTAAGGAGTTGTTAGTAAGGAGTTGTTAGTAAGTAAGGAGTTGCTAGTAAGTAAGGAGTTGTTAGTAAGCAAGGAGTTGTTAGTAAGGAGTTGTTAGTAAGCAAGGAGTTGTTAGTAAGGGGTTGTTGGTAAGTAAGGAGTTGTTAGTAAGGAGTTGTTGGTAAGCAAGGAGTTGTTAGTAAGTAAGGAGTTGTTAGTAAGTAAGGAGTTGTTAGTATGTAAGGAGTTGTTAGTAAGTAAGGGGTTGTTAGTAAGGAGTTGTTAGTAAGTAAGGAGTTGTTAGTAAGGAGTTGTTAGTAAGGAGTTGTTAGTAAGTAAGGACTTGTTAGTAAGGAGTTGTTAGTAAGGAGTTGTTAGTAAGGAGTTGTTAGTAAGTAAGGAGTTGTTAGTAAGGAGTTGTTAGTAAGTAAGGACTTGTTAGTAAGTAAGGAGTTGTTAGTAAGTAAGTAGTTGTTTGTTAGTAAGGAGTTGTTAGTAAGTAAGGAGTTGTGCGGCGATGACACAGCCGTCGACCGAGGGGTCCAATTGGAACCGTGCTGTTAGTGATCGCCATCGCGCTCGCTGAAGGTGAATGCCCTCAGGGAAGTCGTGGACTCTGTGTACGCGACTGCGCACAATTCTCCGAGTCGCTTATCGTAACCGCTTTGCCGTTACGTATTGCCCATTATGGACTCGGGACTATCGTCCTATCATCTCGTAGAGTCCCTGGCACGTGATAACATGCCGCACGGCGGCGTTAGTGGGGGCTCGCAAAATCCCGATTTATTACTGATAAACCCCAGTGATTCGATCGAAATGAGGGATTTCGATCGGATGATTGGGAGGGGCACGTGCCACCCCACCCCCCACACCCCACCGGTTCCGTCAGTGCGCCGAGCTGCTAACATCTGCGACAGCCAGCTCGCTTCTGCATGACAGCTGCGTTGCTCAGTAGGGGCCTTACCTGGTAAGTAAAGTTAAAAAAAAAAATATTATGTTAATGGCTCACCCCGAGCCCTCAATAACTCTGATAGTGGCGCTGTTTTTGAGTTGTACGCCTTTTGGCGTCTTCTGGTCCAACACCAGTGGAGACTAAAGGGCTCTAAGAAAAGCCGTCTCGGGTGTGGACCAATCAAATTCAAGGACAGTGCCAATATTATTATTATCAGAGTTGTCTCTTTTTTGTTTGCATTTTGACTGCTTGTGTTGTGGTTATTGCAAACATGATGCCTTGAATAAAGGTGTCAGTTTTTGTGCCAGTTAAAAGGGTAAAAACCTATTCCTATATCTTGTTTCTGGCAAAGGAGGTCTCATAATGTTAATGCTCACCCCGAACCCTCAATACTCTGATAGTGGCGCTGTTTTTGAGTTGTACGCCTTTTGGCGTCTTCTGGTCCACCACCAGTGGAGACTAAAGGGCTCTAAGAAAAGCCGTCTCGGGTGTGGACCAATCAAATTCAAGGACAGTGCCAATATTATTATCAGAGTTGTCTCTTTTTGTTTGCATTTTGACTGCTTGTGTTGTGGTCATTGCAAACATGATGCCTTGAATAAAGGTGTCAGTTTTTGTGCCAGTTAAAAGGGTAAAACCTATTCCTATATCTTGTTACTGGCAAAGGAGGTCTCATAATCTAAATGCTCACCCCGAGCCCTCAATACTCTGATGGTGGCGCTGTTTTTGAGTTGTACGCCTTTTGGCATCTTCTGGTCCAACACCAGTGGAGACTAAAGGGCTCTAAGAAAAGCCGTCTCGGGTGTGGACCAATCAAATTCAAGGACAGTGCCAATATTATTATCAGAGTTGTCTCTTTTTGTTTGCATTTTGACTGCTTGTGTTGTGGTCATTGCAAACATGATGCCTTGAATAAAGGTGTCAGTTTTTGTGCCAGTTAAAAAGGGTAAAACCTATTCCTTTAAAAAAAATAATAATAAAGTTAAGTAACTAGTGGACTAAATGTGTAGAAGCTCTTTTTCATGAGTGACCTTGCGATCGCAGATGATAGCAGCTCAAGGGGATTGACTCATCACGTGGACATTCATCGCAGCCAAAATACTCTCTGAACGCGCGACGTCGATTCTGAACATGGGAGGGGGAAAACCGGAGGACCCGGAGAAAAATCCACGCGACCACGGGGAGAGAGAGAGAGAGGGGGGGAGAGACACGCAAACTCCAAATATACAGCAGCAGCAGCAGGCGTCGTCAGGGTCGGGATCGAACACACGACCTCATGTATACCAGGCGAGGGAGTCAACATCTCCTAGCCACCGTGATGATGATGATGAGAGAGAGACACGCAAACTCCAAATATACAGCAGGCATCGTCAGGGTCGGGATCGAACCCACGACCTCCTGTATACTAGGCGAGGCAGCCAACATCTCCTAGCCACCGTGATGATGATGATGAGAGAGAGACACGCAAACTCCAAATATACAGCAGACATCGTCAGGGTCGGGATCGAACCCACGACCTCCTGTGTACCAGGCGAGGCAGTCAACATCTCCTAGCCACCGTGGCCTAAGAGACGCCTCTCGAAGGGCCCCCCCCCCACCCCGCACCTCCGCTCTCCACGCTCTCCGCGCGTGGCGATACCCTGGGCTCCGGCCCCCGGGCCCGGCACCGCCGACGGTTAAATTCGCCGGCCGCCGAAATCTGCGGTGCCGTGCTGCTTTTCCCGCTTTGTTTTCTCTTCGATGATTCCTGCCCTGTTGATCCGCACCCCTGCCCCCCCCCCTGCCCCCCCCCCTGCCCCCCACCCCCCCCAGCGTTCGCTTTCCAACGTACGAGGAAAGGCGGCGGCGACCACAACGGCGACGGTGGTGGTGCCGACGGCCATGACAAGTGAAGGCGACAGCGGAGCGGTGGAGGATGGTGACCACTGGGTGGTTGTGGTGGTGGGTGGTGGTGGGTGGTGGTGGGTGGGTGGTGGGTGGTGGTGGGTGCGGCTGGAGCTCAGTAGGAGGAGGGGTTGCACAGGCTAGGTGCATCCGCCGGTCGTCTCAGTCCCGTCAGGCCCCAGGGCACCTGCTGGGTCTGTCCCCGTGACCTCCTGATGCACCTAGCCTGGCACAGCCTGGCACAGGCTAGGTGCATCCGCCGGTCGTCTCAGTCCCGTCAGGCCCCACGGCATCTGCTGGGTCTGTCCCCGTGACCTCCTGATGCACCTAGCCTGGCACAGGCTAGGTGCATCCGCAGGTCGTCTCAGTCCCGTCAGGCCCCACGGCATCTGCTGGGTCTGTCCCCGTGACCTCCTGCACCTAGCCTAGGATGCACCTAGCCTGGCACAGGCTAGGTGCATCCGCCGGTCGTCTCAGTCCCGTCAGGCCCCAGGGCACCTGCTGGGTCTGTCCCCGTGACCTCCTGATGCACCTAGCCTGGCACAGGCTAGGTGCATCCGCCGGTCGTCTCAAGTCGGTCAACCCATGGCACCTGCTGGGTCTGTCCCCGTGACCTCCTGCACCTAGCCTAGGATGCACCTAGCCTGGCACAGGCTAGGTGCATCCGCCGGTCGTCTCAGTCGGTCAACCCCATGGCACCTGCTGGGTCTGTCCCCGTGACCTCCTGCACCTAGCCTAGGATGCACCTAGCCTGGCACAGGCTAGGTGCATCCGCCGGTCGTCTCAAGTCGGTCAACCCCATGGCACCTGCTGGGTCTGTCCCCGTGACCTCCTGCACCTAGCCTAGGATGCACCTAGCCTGGCACAGGCTAGGTGCATCCGCCGGTCGTCTCAAGTCGGTCAACCCCATGGCACCTGCTGGGTCTGTCCCCGTGACCTCCTGCACCTAGCCTAGGATGCACCTAGCCTGGCACAGGCTAGGTGCATCCGCCGGTCGTCTCAAGTCGGTCAACCCCATGGCACCTGCTGGGTCTGTCCCCGTGACCTCCTGATGCACCTAGCCTGGCACAGGCTAGGTGCATCCGCCGGCCGTCTCAAGTCGGTCAACCCCAGCCTTCGCCGCTTGAAACGATGGCCTCAGAGGTGCACCGGGGCCTGGCGCAGGGCGCTGTGGTGACGTCACCGCCACTTTAAGTATTGGGTAGGAGCTCAGCCCACCTGGGTATCCACTCGCGTTTGGTTTTTTACTTTTAGCCGATACGTTTCGGTAGTTTCAATCATCCGTTACCGTGGTAATCGTTTTTGTTTACGTTACCCCGTGGTCATGTTTTGGTGGCGCGGTATTTGTTGCTCGTGGTTTTTTAAAAACTTTTCCTGAACTTCTTTTTTTTTTTTAAACTTTTACTTTTACCGTCGCGCGGACGTCGGGGAACCATCGACGATACTCCCGTCGTCATCGTCATCATCATCCGCTCGTAACCGCTTCCTCCACCCGCACATCGAGGTGACTCGGCACGGCCACGGGTTATCTTCATGTGTACGTGGTGTGTGTACGGTGTGTGTACGGTGTGTGTGTACGGTGTGTGTGTACGGTGTGTGTGTACGGTGTGTGTACGGTGTGTGTGTATGGTGTGTGTGCGGTGTGTGTACGTTGTGTGTGTATGTGTGTACGTTGTGTGTACAGTGTGTGTATGTGTGTGCGGTGTGTGTACGTTGTGTGTGTACGTTGTGTGTACGGTGTGTGTACGGTGTGTGTACGGTGTGTGTGTATGTGTGTACGGTGTGTGTGTATGTGTGTACGTTGTGTGTACGTTGTGTGTGTATGTGTGTACGTTGTGTGTACGTTGTGTGTGTATGTGTTTACGTTGTGTGTACGTTGTGTGTGTGTACGTTGTGTGTACGTTGTGTGTACGTTGTGTTTACGTTGTGTGTGTACGTGTGTGTACGTTGTGTGTACGTTGTGTGTACGTTGTGTGTGTGTGTGTGTAAGTTGTGTGTGTACATTGTGTGTGTACGTTGTGTGTGTACGTTGTGTGCGTACATTGTGTGTACGTTGTGTGTACGTTGTGTGTACGTTATGTGTACGTTATGTGTACGTTGTGTGTGTGTGTGTTGAACTTTGCACCGTACGTAGCCGACTGCACTAATCGAAGGGGCGGGAGGCTAAGGACAACAAACTAAGCACAACAACAGCAAGAAGCGGTTCTCATTAAATTAGTTTGCAATTTAGTATCTGAGTGTAGTGTATAGTAGAGTATAGTTGCGTGTAGCGTAGTGTGTATTGTCGTGTGTATAGTGCAGTGTATGTGCCTTGAACTTCTTTAACACCGTTTGAACGCCACCGTGGCAGAGTACGTAGCTAGCGCGCCAGTCGGAGGCATTGACGGTGGTGATAGCGACAATGCTGATGTTTGACAACGGTGAGAATGATGATGTTGACGATGACGACAATAATGATTGGCACGGTTGGTTACGTACGGTGCGAAAGAAGTTCAACACCCGTACATAGAGACCCACAGACTCATCACACAGGGACCCACAGACTCATTACACAGGGACCCAGAGAGTCATCACACAGGGACCCACAGACTCATCACACAGAGACCCACAGACTCATCACACAGAGACCCACAGACTCACCACACAGGGACCCAGAGACTCACCACACAGAGACCCACAGACTCATCACACAGAGACCCATAGACTCATCACACAGGGACCCATAGACTCATCACACAGAGACCCATAGACTCATCACATAGAGACCCACAGACTCATCACACACAGACCCATAGACTCATCACATAGAGACCCACAGACTCATCACACAGAGACCCACAGACTCACTACACAGAGACCCACAGACTTATCACACAGAGACCCATAGACTCATCACACAGAGACCCACAGACTCACCGCACAGGGACCCATAGACTCATCACACAGAGACCCACAGACTCATCACACAGAGACCCATAGACCCATAGACGCACCACACAGAGACCCACAGACTCATCACACAGAGACCCACAGACTCACCACACAGAGACCCACAGACTCATCACACAGAGACCCACAGACTCACCACACAGAGACCCATAGACTCATCACACAGAGATCCATAGACTCACCACACAGAGACCCACAGACTCACCACACAGAGACCCACAGACTCACCACACAGAGACCCACAGACTCACCACACAGAGACCCACAGACTCCTCACACAGAGACCCACAGACTCATCACACAGCGACCCATAGACTCATCACACAGAGACCCATAGACTCATCACACAGAGACCCATAGACTCATCACACAGAGACCCATAGACTCGTCACAGAGACCCACAGACTCATCACACAGAGACCCACAGACTCATCACACAGAGACCCATAGACTCATCACACAGAGACCCATAGACTTATCACACAGAGACCCATAGACTCATCACACAGAGACCCACAGACTCATCACACAGAGACCCATAGACTCATCATACAGAGACCCACAGATTCACCACACAGAGACCCATAGACTCACCACACAGAGACCCACAGACTCACCACACAGAGACCCACAGACTCATCACACAGAGACCCATAGACTCCTCACACAGTGACCCACAGACTCATCACACAGAGACCCACAGACGCACCACACAGAGACCCACAGACTCATCACACAGAGACCCACAGACTCACCACACAGAGACCCACAGACTCACCACACAGAGACCCACAGACTCATCACACAGAGACCCACAGACTCATCACACAGAGACCCACACTCATCACACAGAGACCCATAGACTCATCACACAGAGGCCCACAAACTCATCACACAGAAACCCACAGACTCATCACGCAGAGACCCACAGACTCATCACGCAGAGACCCATAGACTCATCACACAGAGACCCACAGACTCATCACACAGAGATCCACAGACTCACCACACAGAGACCCATAGACTCACCACACAGAGACCCATAGACTCATCACACAGAGATCCATAGACTCACCACACAGAGACCCACAGACTCACCACACAGAGACCCACAGACTCACCACACAGAGACCCACAGACTCACCACACAGAGACCCACAGACTCCTCACACAGAGACCCACAGACTCATCACACAGCGACCCATAGACTCATCACACAGAGACCCATAGACTCATCACACAGAGACCCATAGACTCATCACACAGAGACCCACAGACTCACCACACAGAGACCCACAGACTCACCACACAGAGACCCACAGACTCATCACACAGAGACCCACAGACTCATCACACAGAGACCCACACTCATCACACAGAGACCCATAGACTCATCACACAGAGGCCCACAAACTCATCACACAGAAACCCACAGACTCATCACGCAGAGACCCACAGACTCATCACGCAGAGACCCATAGACTCATCACACAGAGACCCACAGACTCATCACACAGAGATCCACAGACTCACCACACAGAGACCCATAGACTCACCACACAGAGACCCACAGACTCACCACACAGAGACCCATAGACTCACCACACAGAGACCCACAGACTCATCACACAGAGACCCATAGACGCACCACACAGAGACCCACAGACTCACCACACAGAGACCCACAGACTCACCACACAGAGACCCACAGACTCACCACACAGAGACCCACAGACTCCTCACACAGAGACCCACAGACTCATCACACAGAGACCCATAGACTCATCACACAGAGACCCAAAGACTCACCACACAGAGACCCACAGACTCATCACACAGAGACCCATAGACTCGTCACACAGAGACCCACAGACTCATCACACAGAGACCCATAGACTCATCACACAGAGACCCACAGACTCATCACACAGAGACCCACAGACTCATCACACAGAGACCCATAGACTCATCACACAGAGACCCACAGATTCACCACACAGAGACCCACAGACTCACCACACAGAGACCCACAGACTCACCACACAGAGACCCACAGACTCATCACACAGAGACCCATAGACTCCTCACACAGTGACCCACAGACTCATCACACAGAGACCCACAGACGCACCACACAGAGACCCATAGACTCACCACACAGAGACCCACAGACTCACCACACAGAGACCCACAGACTCACCACACAGAGACCCACAGACTCATCACACAGAGACCCACACTCATCACACAGAGACCCATAGACTCATCACACAGAGGCCCACAAACTCATCACACAGAGACCCACAGACTCACCACACAGAGACCCACAGACTCATCACACAGAGATCCACAGACTCACCACACAGAGACCCATAGACTCACCACACAGAGACCCACAGACTCATCACACAGAGACCCACAGACTCATCACACAGAGACCCACAGACTCACCACACAGAGACCCACAGACTCATCACACAGAGACCCACAGACTCATCACACAGAGACCCACAGACTCATCACGCAGAGACCCACAGACTCACCACACAGAGACCCACAGACTCATCACACAGAGACCCACAGACTCACCACACAGAGACCCACAGACTCATCACACAGAGACCCACAGACTCATCACACAGAGACCCACAGACTCATCACGCAGAGACCCACAGACTCACCACACAGAGACCCACAGACTCATCACACAGAGACCCACAGACTCATCATACAGAGACCCACAGACTCTTCACACAGAGACCCACAAACTCATCACACAGAGACCCACAGACTCATCACACAGATACCCACAGACTCATCACACAGAGACCCACAGACTCACCACACAGAGACCCATAGTTAGTTGTCCTCCCCTCGCCACATTAGCACGGTTGGTCATGTACGGTGCGAAGGAAGTTCAACATACATACAGACCAGCTTAGCACGGCTCAATCCATATTGAAAACTCACCCGTGCCGTGCTGGCCCCCTTTGCAGGCACGTGTCCAGATGTGCCAGTGGAAAGAGGCAAGATGTATCTACTGCCAGGGGGCGCCGCTTGTGGCTAGGAGATGTTAACTCCCTCGCCCGGCACGCAGGAGTTCGTGGGTCCGATCCCGACCCTGACGATGCCTCTTTTTGATGAGATGTTAACTTCCTCGCCTGTTGTGCAGGAGGTCGTGGCTCCGATCCCGGACCCTGATGACGCCTGCCGTATATT